TCTTCTTCCTCTTCCTCCTCTTCTTTTTTTATTCTCTTCTTTCTTCGTTGTCCTTTTCTTCTCTTTTCTTTTCTTCTTTGATTTATTCCTCTCTTTCTTACTAGTCGTCTTTCTCTTTTCTCCTTTTTTTTCTTCTTTCTCTTCATTTTTTTTCCTTTTACTCACCCTACTCTTTCTTATATTTTCTTATATGTTCTCCTTCTCTTCTCTTTCTTTCCATATCTATATTCTTCCTCTTTGTCTTCCTCCTCCTCTTCCTCTATTCTTCTTTCTCTTATTCTTTTTCCTCCCCCTCTCTGTATCCTGCTTATATTCATCTTCCTCCTTTTTAAATTCCACTTTTTTCTGTCGTGTTCCCCCTCCACCATCGCCAACCTCCACCGTTAACTCATTTGCCACTTCCTCCTCCACCGCTGACACCATCACCGCCTCCACCACTACCGCTTTCTTCCCCCCACACAACTAACGCCACCGTGGTACCATCACCGCTACATCACCCACTCCCATCACTCTACCACAACCCACTACCCCCGTCGCCACCACCCACCACTACCAATACCACCACCATCCACCACCACCACCACCGCCACCACCATCCACCATCCACCACCACCACCATCATCACCACCATCACCACCACCACTACCACCCATCGTTTCCATTTTCTCCCCCACTACCACCTCTTCAGAAAGGCCTGTTTCCAATTTCTGTGCGATTGTGTTTTTTCCTCTCTTTTAAGGGGGGTATGATTTTCATCTTTTGACTTATTAAGTTTTCTATATCTTGCTGGACTTTTAATTCAACTTGTTTTTATTTTATCGTTTTAGAATCACATGCAATGTACCCCGACAATTTATATCTAAGGTTTATTTCAAAATAAAACAAAAATACCAGTCAGGCTTAATCTCTCGTTTTCTTTCTCTCAGACTTATCAGCAATATTTGTGTGTGTTTGCGCCTCCCATTTTAAAAATAAAGCGAAAAATGTCTCCCCATAATGGAAAGGGATCTGCTGGACCCATATTTCACCAGTTTACTTATTTGATCAATCTCCCCCCCCACCCCATCCTTCCTCTTTCTCCCCGCATCCCCTCTTACTGATCTCCTGGCTTCCCCTTATCCCCTCCCTCCCTTCCCCCCTTTGCGTTCCATCCCTTTCACCTTTCTCTACCCCTCCCTCTTTCACCCCCCTCCCCACAGACATCCTTACCCCTCCCCCTGATCCATCCCCCTAGTTGTACCCCCACCCATCCATCCATTCCTAGCCCCCCCCCCCTTCATCCATCCTTCCCTCCCTCCTTGCTCCTCTCCCTCGTCCATATCTCCCTCCCCCTTCCCCTCCCATCCCCCTCCTCTCCCCACAGCTCGCCTGGCGCTGATAGATGCCCCATATCCATTTATTATTTCGTCCGGGGCATTTCCCAAAAATTGAAGACACAGTTATCATTGAACGATTCGTTTTCGTGGGGGGGAGAATTAGCATTTTTAGCCCATTTTGTATTTCAAATGCAAATCCCTGTCGAACGGCGATCGATAGCATCCCCTGTCTCCTCCCAAATGAAAGATTTTCATGCGTTTTTTTTTAGGAAAGAGGGAGAGAGGTTGGGAAAGGGAGGGGAGAAGGAGGAGAAGGAGAGAGAGAGGGATATGGAAAGTAGGAGGAAGAAGAAGCGGGAGAAGGAGAAATAATGGGAAAGGGAGATGGAGAGAACAGGAGGAAAAGTGAGTGGGAGAAGGAGAGGGGGAGAAGATAGAGAAAGAAAGAGAGGGGAGAGGGAGTGTAGGAGTGAAAGAGAGGACGAAAAAAGGGAGAGGAAAAGAGAGTGGTTGGAGAGGGAGAGGGGTAAGGGGAGGGGAAATGAGAAGGAGAGGGAAAGAAAGTAAGGGAAACAGAGAAAAAAAGGAAGAATTTGGGGGGGTGAGAAGGATAGGGAGAGAAAGTAAGGAAAACAGAGAAAGAAGATATGAGGGGGAGAGGCGGGAGCAAGGGTGAGAGGATAGAAACAAAAATGAGCACACACACATACATGCATACATATACGTACACACACATTAATACGTGTGTGTGTGTGTGTGAGTGTAGCATGTAAATTAGCACGATTTCTGCAAGCCATGAGACCATAAACCATGTGTCTCTAGGTCAATTTAGAACCATAACACTGGCGAGGACTTAGATGACAATTATATCTGACCTCGGTTGACCCTTCAGAAGTCACCGTGACCAGGTCACCACCAGCCTCCGGCCCCCCAGGGCTGGCAGGCCGGACACGCGACACCGCTCAGCTCTCGCCCAAGACAACGTCTCGTGCCTTCCCTTTACTGTGTTGAATGACTCCTTAAATAGTCAAGCCGTTATACAACTATTAATAGCATGTACATTATCATGATTTTTGTAAGCCATAAGACCGTAGACCATAGGCTTACAGAAATCGTGCTATTGCACATGCTATAATATACATAGACATACACATATTTATACATTGTAGCTTTCACCTCCTCTG